CCCCCGCGCCTCGCTGCAGGAAGCAGCCTTGCCGCGCTCAGATAAGACGGGCAGCCCGAGATGGGCTGACCCATGTGCGCCGGGCAGTGGGGCAGGCCCAGGTGCAGACAGCACCAGCACGGGCTGGTTCGCACCGAGCAAACCACAGCACTCACGTCTGCGCCGGCATTTCACTGACAGAGGCCCCTAGTTCCTGGAGGAGGATTAACAGATGCCGCACGCAGGCGCGGACACAGCTGAATTCACACCCGGGAGAGCACGTCACTTTAGAACCTTTATTTTGGAGAAAGTTAAAGCCTGTAGATACAGCAATAAAATATACAAAAAATAAAATTTTTTTACAGTATTGACTGTTGCCCAGGACTATGTTGACTGCAGCTGGAGGCAGCTATGTGCAGAGCACAGAGGCAGGCAGGGGGCACAGCCCCAGTCTCCTCTGAGCACCTACCAAGCTCAAAGGGCCCTCCTGTCCCCATGGGGAGCCCAGCCACTTTCCCTGGCCACGCACAGCTAAGGGGGCTGACCTGGACGCCACAGCCCCTGCTCCCTTCCCTTGCTACCAGGCACAGCACGCTCGACGGAGCCCACCCACCGCACTGCCCTCTCGGCCCCTGCACAGCTGACACCAGCCTGCTTGTACAGCGGGATCCTGACCAGGGCAGCGCAGCCGCTGTCGCAGGGCTCTGAGCTTACCCCATGGGTCTTTACTGCACAGTAACACAGTAAAACCAGCAACACACCCTGTGCTCTGAAGGTGCACAAGATAGGGGCCCAACCTGCTCCACAACAGCCCACAGCATTGTCACTGCTACAAATGATTTAGCACTTCTCTCTGCCCGGAGCCAAATTAAGACACGTCAGAGACCTGTAAAACCCTGGGCTGTTTCCCAGTAAAATGGTGCTCTGCTGATGTGACCCACTGCAGCGCCCAGCCTGGACACAACCTCAGCGCCTGTGGCTCTCACAGCCCTGCTCCAAAGCGCAGGGACGGACAGAGCACAGCATGCAACCCCCCCATGCTACCCCACTGCTCCCCACACCGGGCAGCCAAGCCCCCTGGTAAGATAAGGAGCATCCAGATGCTGTTCTGGGAGGCCGGCAGCTCCCACACTGCCTCTCCCTCCCCTTTCTTGCTCATCAGTGTCTTGTTTAGATCAGGGATGGGAACCAAAACCCATCGCATGGAAAGGGCAGAAGGGCTCCCCCCATTTGGAGAAATGGAGAACCACAACTTTCCTCGACCCCTGGAGCAAAGAAACCTGCAACACCCACATGATCTGTGTCCAGTGTTGGCTGACAGCAGACTCCTCCCCCTACATATACCCTGCTCCCTTCAACCCTTGCCACCTCCTAGCTTAATGCTGACAGCCAACACCCAACAAAAATGCCATGTAAAGCCCCTGAGAAGCTGTAAATCCACCAGCTGGGACATCATAAGCCATATCAAAGGGCTTAGGGAGGGCCAAGCCTGGCCACCCACTGCAGGTCAGGCTGGATCCAGCAGCATCCCACTCTTCACCAGGGTCTGGTAGGTCTAACTCTGCCTAGACAGAGAGAGAAGTGCAATCTTGCTCCTGTCGCTAGTCTGATCAAGGGGCCAGCTAGTCAGAATGGCCAGCCTGGTTATCCCCAGGTCCTAAAAAAACCAAGAACAGATCTGAGATGCGAATGCTGCACACTCACAAGCATGCACTGGTGTTGAGACACTTCATCGCCCTTCCCCAGGGCACTCCTTGCACTGCAGGGAAAACTAGCTGTCCCAGCAGGAGACCTGGGGCTACTGGACCCAGCTGGATCTCTCTGCCTGCACCAGGAAGCTGGCAGCAAGAACAGGCAGTTACCAAAACTCCCTGCTGGCAGCAAAGCCCAGGCGGAGTCTAGTAGAACCATTACCTTCACAAAGACAGGAGCATCTGGGCCCATCTACCTCCGAGCTGCTTGCTGGTCCACCTGGCCAAAACCAGGGTCGGCAGAAGGTGCAGAGACAAGAATACTCTGCCATCAGCTCTCAGAAGGCTGGTGGAGACTCTGCAAGCTAGACCCTCCGTTGTCTCAACATGGGTTACCCAATGCACTGTGCTAACACTGGCCAATCCCCTCTCAGCTACCTGGAGGCAAATCCAGATTCAAAAGATCTTCATGGGCTTTTAGACACTGGCAGTCAGAAAAGCAGCTTTAAACAGCAAGGCAGCACAACAGGGGCTGCAGGAGCATTTGTAAAAAACTGAGGCTGCAATTGGAGGCTGATAGGCACTTGAATGAGCAAAACAACAATAAAAAACTGTGTTACGGAAGGTAATAGAAAAAGGTTTATCCTCCCTCCCCCCAAAGAGACCAATGGCACCACCATGGAGAGGTGGTTGTTCACTTGGGTCAAACAAGGAAATTGGTGGCAAGGACCACAGCCCCCAGCTCCTCCCAAGAAAAGGCCCACAGCAAACGCGACCTAGCAGGGCAAGACTGGGGGAACTATTTGGTGCCAGGAAGCCTGAGTCCTGGGAAGGCCCTGAGAGCACCGGTGGAGCACATCACATTGGTGAAGAAGCACACTCTGGGGTCAGCTCCATGTCGAAGGTCAGCGACTCTGCAGGGAGACACAGCGAGAGGTTACAGGGCCTGTGTGCCTGCAGCGACCCGGAGGGCCCGAGTCTTGACCCCTAGAGCTCTGCCTGCAGCCAGGCTCTCCCCTCTCAGGCGCTGTAGCCCACCAGACCCACCAAACTGGCCTCCTGCGTTGGCCTCTGCTCCCTCGCTGTTATTGCCAAACTGCATGAGCGAGTCCAGGGTGCGTGGAGACATGGGCAGGTCGATGGTGTTGCTGAAGGAGGTGCTGTCAGAGGGAGGGAAGGGAACACAAACCGCATGAGTCAGGTTGTGGCTGGAGCGGTGGCCAGAGCTCTCTCAAATACCACTATCCACCACCCACCTCAGGGCACGGGATAGCCTAGGTCCCAAGAGCAGGGCTCTCCAAAATGCAAGGAAAAAGCCAAGTAGAGAGGAACACCCATGGTTAGGGCTGGAGCCTGGCTCAGACTCCCTTTGTGGCCTCCTTCTACCCAGGCTGCAAACCTCATGGCACAGGGGCAGAACAGTCCAAGTCAAGGGCGCCCCAACCACCATGAGCAACCAAGCAGTGGTGGGTAAGAAACCCCCTCAAGCAGGGCTGCACGCATGAACGCTCCCCCTGGGCAGCAGCCCTGTGCTTAGATACCCCTCATAGGAACACTCACGGGGTGACACAGATGAACTTGGTCTTCAGGTACGGAGCAGCACCTGCAGAGGAAGAGCAGCCTTGTCACCAGCTGTCAAAGGAGGAAGCCAGCTCTATTCCCCTCCGTGGAAGGGCACAGCCCTGCAGACAGCACGCGCCCACACAGCGGCTGCTCATCCCTCACACACTGCCATGGTCCTGCATGGGCTGTGCCAAGGAACGTGCTCCCAAGCGCTAGTCTCAAGCTGTGGCTGTGCCCTCCCATGACCTATGTCAGGATCCTCCAGCTACTGACAGCTCTTCCACCTCGGAGCTGTCACTGGAGCAACCCCACGCAACTCGCCAGCTCGCGCACGAGTGGCATCAGAACACAGAAAGTCAACGACTACCTGAGTCTGTAGCTTCAGAGTGTTCTTGGCTCTCAGGGCGACAGTACTTCCCAAATGCCTCTTCCTTTGGGATATCCGGGTACAGATACACAAGGGGGGACACCAGGATGTTGGTAGCATCCATGATTTTGTAGCCCATGATGATCTCCGCAAATGACATGCTGTTTAGCTGCTGCTTGGTGTAAGGCTCCACGGACTGGATCTGGGTCTTCCCTGTACAAGGAGACTTTTGACACAGGGCAAGATACCTGCATTCCTCAAACAAAGGCAGAGGCCTTCCTCAAACACCACAGGAGTAGCAGGGACAAGACAGACCAGCCTGGGATCATGCTCAGCACAGCAGAGCTGCTGTATGCACTTGGGCTGCAGCACATCAGCATCAAGAGGCATCAGCAGGCCACAGGGCAGAGACCTGCCAGGCAGTTTCAGCACCTGGGAAAACTGCATCATGCTGGCAGCACATGGGCAGGGGCACCCAGCATGCAGAGACCAGCAAGAAGCACCCAGGGGAGTGCTCAGAGACTTTAACCTTGTCCTGGCAAGGCCCTTTCCCTAGGTTAAGGACAAATATCATCGGTGATGACGCCATGTTCAGAGCCAGGAACACTGGCTGAGCAAAACACTACGGCCAGGGCAGCAGGGGAAGGAGGAGCAAACGTACCACTGATGTCCTTCTCCACCCAGGTGAAAGTGATGCCACCTTCCTTGCTGCTCTCACTGAACCGTAGTAGAAAGGTTCCCGGTGGCTTGGTGCTCAGGATGGCTCGTTCCCGCTCCTTGCTGATGAACCCCATGATGTACCTGGAGAGCAAGGAAAAGAGCGTGCCAGGGTAGGGGCACACCGGGGCAGCTATTCCAGGGCATGAGTCCTGCCAGTTCTCTGCACTGCACAGCTTCAGGCAGCTGCAGGGCCCGGCCTCAGGACCAGTAGTGCTTTTAGGCATTTCGGTGCCAGGAAGGGTTTTTGGTCCAGGCCCTGTCGGTTGGTTCAGAGCAAAGAGGCATCCCAGGAGATCCCACTGCTTGCACCTGGAACAAGCCACCCCCACCTTCCTGGGGACAGGGTTCATGGGATCCTCCCAAGGCCCAGCCCTACCAAAGGGTCACCGGACTGACACTGGGTGAGGCTCACCCTTCGTTCCACAGCGCCAGAATGTATTTCTTCACCAAGTCAATGATGTTGTCCAGCCAGACCCAGAAAGAGAAGCCTTTGCCAGCCATGTTCTCCTGAGGAAGAGCGCAGAGAAGTTGTGAATGCAGCTTGGACAGTGGACAGCCACGGGAAGACACATGGAGGAGGAAAGGGGAATTATACCTTGCAGAACTTGGCCCAGGTGATTTGACAGCCAGAGTAATTCACACCTGGCCCTAGCAGAGAAAAACAGGAGCATCAACATTTAGATAGAGATGTTCTTCCAAAGACACCATTTCCAGGCAGCAGCCCAAGGTTTGCAGTGTTTCAGGGAAAAATCAAGCAATTAAAAAGTAAAGCTCCCTTCCCAAACCATACAGTCTTACCACCATATTGGATTTACAAACGGTTCCCATAGAAGCCACCCCTGAGGGTGGCTAGGGACGGCAGGGATAAGCAGGACACCCGGGACAGTGGTTACCTAGAAGTTTTTCTGCCAGCGTTGTCAGCTGCTCAATGCTGAGACCACGCTTGGTGGTAGAGGAGAACTGCCAACTCAGCACCTCTGCCACCTGGTCCCACGTCCCGATGGGGGGCTTGGTGAAGAAGTTCACGTTCTGCACAAGGAAATACACAGCCTGAGCAGGGCACTGGACATAGGCAGGGGCCAGATCCTTACTCAGCCCTGCTGCCACTGCTGGGCCACAGCTTCCCTCATCACTTCCTCTCTCTACCTGCAGTCTGGCTGCTTGGGGTATCTGCCCCAAAAGCCTGCACCTCATCTTTGCCGCCCAGCCCCACAGCACCAGGTCCTACCTTGGGGTTGTTGGTCAGCATGTTGTACCACAGGATGGATGCCCAGGCATTGGGCATCTGGCAGATGTTTGAGATGACCACAACTGGCAGTGAGTGGGTCTGCAAAGACAGGATGTGACCATAGGCTGGGACATCTCACAGGGCCCTGAACTGCCCTGCAGGACAGCAAGCCTCAAACAAGCGCCTCCCACCCCATTCTCTGTGCAATGTGGCCTGTACATGGGAAGGCATAGCCACATGGCAATGGCCCTTGGCACCCCTCTAGCCAAGTGCTTCCCCAGCCCTACAGCCTTCTCCACCATGACCAGCAGCTGGCTGTGCTCCCTGCCTCTTCCCAGTAGGCCTTCCCCAGCCAGTCTGGAAGAGCAGACACGTGTCCAGCACAGGCCAAGCCACAGCTCAGCCAGGCCCACAAACAGCTGCAACTCTATTTCATCTTAAAGTGTTCTCAGAGATGCTTCCTCTGCACCCAGGCCTGGCTTGCTACAGAGAGGGGCAGCTAACCCACAACTCACCTCTAGGTCAATCTTCAGCCCCTGGTGATAAACCTCTGTCTCGAAGGTGATGAGGTGCAGCTCCTCAGTGACTATCAGCGAGGCCTATGGTGGAAGAGGACACAGTGAGCACAGGGGTGCTCAGCCTCACCCAGGAGACACTTGGCCATTGGGGCCAGCACTGCTGCTAAGGTCCCTGCTGCTGGTCTGGCAGCTGCCAACACATCAGAGGGTGCCTGTGAACACCCTCTGAGGGCTGTGTCCCTGCTTCCCCTTTCTGTGGTTTAGCTGCTCGTCATGGAACGAGACTCAGAGCCAGTAGACAAGAGGAGATCGCTAGGGGTGCTCCAAGCAGAGCTGTCAAACAAAGACTGGCCAGCTCTCCTAACCAGGGGCCCCTTCCCCAGCACTGCCCTGGCTCAGCGCTTACATCACAGTTGGCTCTTCCTCCATTACCACATCGCTGCTCCCTCAGCGTCTGCAAAGAGAAGAAACTGGCTAAAGCAACAGCTTAGGCACAAGGCCTTAATAAGAACAGTCCTGAGAGCTCACAGTACCCACCAGGTGCTTGAACTCTGCTGAGAGGCTGCCATTGTTCGACTCTTCCATGTTCATGACCTTGGTATTTGTCCCCAGGATGTTAAACTTCCGGGATCTTGAAAGAGCAAAGACACAGTGTGGCTAACAGAGCACACCTCAGAGCTAACACAGGGTAAAATGCTTGCCAGAAGCAGCATTCCACTTACCCTCTAAGGGCTGCAACATCACCAGAGTCCCTAGGAAAGGGGAGAGAGAGCACAGAGTCAAGGTGCTAGCCTTCCCACATAGACACAAAGCAGCAGCAAAATGCAGCACCAAAGGAGCTAGTGCGTGGGATTAGCGGCACTGCAACATCAGTCCCACAGCCTGTGCCCTGCACTCAAGGCTGAACCCTAGGACTCATTGCTGCCCTGCACAGGGGAGCAGACCATGCTACTCCCTTTCTACTCAGGGTCATGCTGGTCCTTGGCACAGGGATGGAGACCCGATGGCAGCAGGAACAACAAGTCCCATCCCAGTCACTCCATCCACTTGCCACCAGGATCACAGAACTCACTTGTCAATGCAGACTTTAATTTTCAGCTGATAGTTCAATTCTGGAAACTTGACCAATAACCTGCAAAGAGCCAGAAGATGTGCAAGTCAGCGTGAACATCCTGCACGTGCAAACAGCTCCAGTTAAAAACAGAACCTGGCATAAACTGTGGAAGAGACTGGGGCTGGATGAACAGCAACACTGTGTGCATGCCTAGCCTGGCAGCACCATGGTCCACCGGGACACAGTGTTACACAGTTTAGCCAGCTTCTCTGAATCAGTCTGCACACAGGACTCACCACTATCCCTAGAATAGGGGAGGTGTTAATGCAGAACCTGTTTCAGCTGTTGACTGCTGCCCACATCATGAAGAGACATCTGCTCTGAATGAGCACCATCTGCACTGCTCTGTTGCCAGATACTTCTGCATATGAAGGGGGCAACTGGAGCACAGCTGAGACACGATGAACATGCTCCAGGGCAGAGCTCGGCTTCAGAGCAGGAGCAGCTCTCTGCAGAGGCTTGCAAGGGACACAGACCAGCAGAGAGGCAGCTGGCCAGGGAAGCACTGACACTTCCTTCCTCCCGCCCCCACAGCAGGATTTACCAGAACCCCGGCTGCCTCCAGGAATGCTGCAGATTCCCAGCCCAGCAGTCACCATAACTGCACTGAGTCACCCGGCTGCACACCAGCAGAGCCAGCTTGCAGGGATTCGTTCCCTCCCAGCCTCCCAGCATTCCCCAGACAAGACGGAGACTGCATCCACATCAGCGTTTCCTTTGGAGAGAGCTCCTAGTTTCCCCACTGCTCAGCTCCCTTCCCACACCTCCAGCACAGAGACACTGCGGGGACCAGCAACACACCTGACTTTGGTGGTGAACTGCACGCCGGTTTTGATGACCAAGGGCCGGTCAGGGTGCATCGGCATGCAGGGCTGCCTCTCCACAACAAAAGCACTGCAGGGACAAAACGCAAGGGACTGCAATCACATCTCAGACCCCATCCCAGCACACTGGCTGCTCACCCCTCCCCATGCTCCCTGTAACCCAGGGTGCCGACAGCTCCTTCCCAGCCCTCAGCACCTTTTCATCAGGTTCCTGAACAGCTCTACAATCCGTTCCTCCAGCATGGGCCGGTGCTGGACAATGGGGTCACCCTTGTAGGATACTTTCTGCTGCAGCTCTTCCAGCTTCTTGATCTGCTGCCGGGTCTGTAGCTGTGATTCCGCAAGAGAGGTTATCCTAGGGAAGGCAGGAAGGACCTCTGTTAGCTCTGGCTGCCAAGCCATACGTCCCTGCATAATCGCAGACTACACAGAGTCCTTCTCTTCCCTCACTGGTGCACAAAAAGAGAATCTCTACACCAAACCAGCAGGAACAGAACAGCCTGTGGCTACCAACTCAGTGCGTTTCTTTAGGCCACAAACTAAAGAAGAAATCTGCATGAACCTGAGTTCTGCAGAGAAACACCTGCCAAGGGCTCAGATATAGCCACATGGTAACAGGAACTCCTTACAGCAGCCTTGGAAATCCCACAGGCCTAGGGCTAGTGGACAACTGCAATAGTGTCCCTTATTTCAGGATCAATCTGACTAGCGGATTATGTTTATGCTTGTGGGCATCAGTGGCCATTTTGCAAGGACAATCCCAGAGGCAGAGAGATCATTTCCATTGCAGGTGTTTGAATGTAGCCTCTTGAAAGATTGATGCAACTCCCAGCCAGCTTCCTTACCAGTTCTCAAGCCGGTCGAGGCAAATATTGGGTGGGCCACCAATGCAGGCGATTTGCTGCCGTCTCTTCCAGTCTGCCAGCTCCTCATCTGCAAGCATCTTCTGCACATACTCCATGGCTGACAACAGTCCAGCAAGCTCACTCACAATACCCTATCAAGAAAGAAACCAGGACCATCAGCACCCTGACTCCCTTCAAGATCTACAAGTTTCACACCCTCAGACAAGAAAGAGGTCACCGAGGGTTATACTTCCAGTTCTGCTCTCACAGAGCTGGCCACATACGAGCACCAAACCCATATCCCAGAGAGATGGCACCTCTGCACCACAGAGCGATCTGGAGGGCTAGTCACTCATGAGCACATGCAGGTCATACCCTTCGCATTTGGTCCAGCGCTGTGAGCATCTGCTCCAGCTGTTGCATCTTTTGCCGGGTCACTGACTGATTGTTTCCATTTAGATCCTGCATGTCTGCACAGAGAGGAGAGAAAGCTTCAGCCAAGTACGTGAACTCCTACCTTCCCAAGGATCACACAAACAGGAAACTTCCACAGTCAATTGCAAAGAAGCAGGCCCCCTAGAAAGCTGTCAATCGTTAAGCAGTAATCCCTCACAGCCTTTGCCACCACAGCCTCCAAGCATCTTGCTGGCTTCAGTACATGCATAGCAGGGATATCACCTCTACATGCCAGTTCTCTATTTGCACCCAAATCAGGCAGAGCTCTGTTTCAGCTCCCCTGGAGGCCCTGTCAGTGGCAGAAACAAAAACAAGATTCCTTCAATTGCCATGCAAACGCCCTGAGCCTAAGCTACCCTTTTTCCCTGGAAGGGTACACTGGGAGGGCTGGAACACACCCTCCAGCACTTTTCCTTACAGGAAAAGCTTTGGTTTGCCAGTTGCTAATGAGCTTCCATTACCTCCTTGGCTTTTCAAAGTCTTGTAGTTGAAATCAAAGTCATCTTGGAGATTCTCCACCACTTTCATCTTCTGCTCCAGATCCTGCAAGGCCAGAGATGTAGATTTGTTCAAAGCACTAAATCATCACGGTGCTCCTAGTAGCATTGGGAAAGGAGAAGATGCCTAGGGAGCACACACATACCTGCACCCTCTTCCTCACATCCTGCAGATGCTGCTCCAGCATTTGCTGCTTTTCTGTCACTACAGCTGCTGTCGGATGTGTTGCCTGTCCCCCTTGCTGCAGGGGATACAAGGAGGACTTGGAACAAGGCCTAGGACCCAGAAACACACCCCTCCCACCCTGAGGGGGCTTTGCAGGGAGAGCCTTCACTCCCTCACTAACAAAACCCAGTGCAGCTGCTTGCTCGCTTGCAGTATTAGCTACAGGACTGCACCCCTAGGCACACAGTGCAGGGCACACCCCACTCAAGGCTCTGACATTCTCCGAGAGAGCAGAGGTACAGGAGAGATGAATGCACACCAAAGTAAACAGCCATCCCAGAGAGAGAGCATGCAGGGTACATACTGGCAGAAAGTGGTTGCTGCCTGGACAGCAGGAGGCAAGTCACCAACCACTGCAATTCAATCATCTCTTTCAGGACAAAAGATCTATCATTACTGAAGAAAGCAAGCAGGGAGCTTCAGACTGCAACTTCCCCCCAGCATGGAGCACCTGCCCAGCACTGCTGGGCAGCCAGCAAGAAAGGGCCATCCCAGGACACCACTTGCCCCCGAGCCACTTACCTGGGCTGCAGTTGCAGCTGTCTGGAGGAGCCGGGACTCTTCCCACAGGCAGCGAGCCACGATGCGGGCTATTTCCATCGGCTTCTCCAGGTACCTGCTCTGTAAAACATCCAAACCTCCCAAGTTAGTAGGTAAAAATGCAACTCCTGGGATTTTCAAATCCTTTAAGGCTGCAGTTTGAACTGCACAGAGGAAACCATTAGAATTGCACAGGCTCCCCCTGCCAAACCAGCATTTAAAAATGAAATAGGTGCTTCCTGCCTCACCTGTAGAAACTGCTTGATCCGTCGCAGGTTGTGCTGGTACAATACATTGGACTCCTGCAGGAAGCGGCTGTATTGCTGGTCAATCTCTCCCAGCAGGTTGTGGAACACCAGCGTGGCATGTGACTCCTTGCTGGCAGCGTATGCCCTGCGAGAGGCAGAACACAAAGGTCCTGGACATCCAACACAGACTAACGGAGCAAGGCAGCATGACAGACACCGGGCAGCTCTGCTCAGACCCTCCATCCCTGCATGCCACTTTACGCCCCAACAATCTTCCCAACCTACACCAGAACAAGGATCAGAGCAAGCCTGCACTTCTTAACTAACATCAATAAACTAAGCTATTACTGCAATCTGCAACAAAGCTTCCTCCACTAGAACTGCCTGCTTTCCTGGGCTGTGCACAGAGGCTGCACCGAGTTCACCCACACATGCAGCCATCAGACCGTCCACACAAGGGCAGGGCGATAGAGATGTTCTAGACTCGTGCTTCAAGTCTGGCTTTAGGCCAGGCAGACAGCACACGCAATTCCCTCACGAGTCCCATGTGCTCTCTGAAAAGGATCCAAGAACAGATGCTCCATTTCAGCCTCATTTACAATAGAGGACAGTGTAAATCAACCCTGGATGGAAACACCTTTGCTTTGGATCTTCCCCTTTTCCAGATCTGAGCTTTGGCACCACATGCACAGACTTCTGCTCCCCTTCATATCACACTTAAAAGTCTCACAGGGAGCCAGAACGATGAAGAATAGTTCTGCAAGGTCAGGAGCCTAGAGAAACAGGTACAGCCCCTTCAGACTTTGCTGGCATCCGCTATCATCCCAATCCTTCTGTAGTGCAAGCTCGAGGGTCCAAAGGAACACAAGACCAGCAATTTACAGTCAATCCTCCCTTTGGTCAATCCTCCCAAACAAATACTGGAAAATCCCTGCTCATCCTAAGCATCAAAGGGCAAGCGTCCCAAGCAAAGTCTATATGCCAGAGTTTCACAAGGCCTTACCAGTCCTGGCTCTCAATCCATGGAGCCAGGAACTGCCGGAGCTCCATGGGAAAGCTGTCACTGTAGAGCTGGTGGAGCTGCTCCAAGTACCGAGTGTCGAGCTGCTGCAGCTGGTTCCACTGCGCCATCCTGGCCGGCTCCGGAAACCTGGCAGGACAAGCACACGCACTGGTCAGAGCAGCAGTGGCTGTGGGCACCTTGCAAGACCCCACGGAGCTGCAGACACCAAGCTGCACGTCACTGGCACAGTGGCAGTGGTTGGGAAGGCTCCCTCCCTCGCACGATGTCTGCTGCCAGGGGGATCGCTTCCCCGCACAGCGTCATTATGGGCGCAGAGCCCCAGCACAGTGTCTGTGGCTCAGATCTCCTGCAGCTCACCTCCCTCGGGACAGCTGGGATCTGTGACAGGGGCTGGCAGCATCAGAGCCTGCTATTAGGGGAGGAGTTCAAAGCCTGCTGGCATGCTGGGACGAGCCGG